TGACATTTCTACCATCCTTTGCTGGGTGTTTCCTGGACTGCCTCATCAGAGTCTGATGTCCTCAGGTAGCCTCCCTTCCAGGAACAATGCCATAGATTTTGGCTTGGATCCCATCCTTTTGGTGAATGAACGTGGAGCTCAACTGTGTAGCTTGGGCATGGTAGCCTTTCTTTTCATCTAGGCAGCTACCATGTGGTAGTCGCTGTGGCAGACACTGGGGGCAGCTGTGTGTGTATGTGTGTGTGTGTGTGTGTGTGTGTGTGTGTCTGATGACCAGGTGACCACTATTGTCTTTTAGAGGCCTAGGGACCTGAAGCAAGTGAGTCATGGTAATATGTACAATATAGGACTTGGAGGGAGAGAGCCACTCTCTAGAAGATGCAGCCTGCCCTGATTTGTGATATGAACTAAACAATTAATTCATCCCTTCTTAGAACTATGAGCCCCCCCTCCGAGGCAAACCTTATTTGTTTTCCTCATTAGTTTTAGGAAACACACACACAGCAGATTTACAAATAAAAAGTATCTTTAAACTCTCTTTCCTCCTCCCTCCCTCCCTCCCTCCTTGCCCCATCCCCGCCTCACTGTGTAGCCTAGCTTGTCCTGACCTAGCTTCCCCAGAGCTGGGATAACTGGAGGAGTAGTGTGTGCCCAGCTTTAGTTAGCTCCCCGCTCTCTACCTCTTCACAGTCATTGTTAGCCTCCATTGTGAATACAAATTCCAGCTGTGTTTTTGCTTCCTTAGCAAATAGGTGAATGGCCCCTGCCTACGGAGTCTCCATATAGACTTCTGGAAGGTGGGCCTCCGGCTACTCACCAGTCACTCAATCCTAAGGAGTTTTCTTGACAGTTACTTCTACAGCCAAAGATGCCAAATGTGGAGTTTAGAACCTGGGGCGAGAACCTGCCCTCTACAGTGGTTGCCCAGCCAGCTTATTCCTGACCACCGCAAGCAGCACCTTGGTCTCCCTTCTAGTCTGGTTTCATGGCTAAGCTTAGGGCTGTGAGATGCTGAAACACACTGTCACATACAGGGGCGGGGGGGGGGGCAGCTTGAGCCAGAAGGTATACACCTGGTGAGGAAAACGTGGGAGACTGAGCCCCTATCTCACCTGGAGCCTGGGAAGTTCTGTAGAGGCACAGAGTGCCTGGCATTTCTCGGGAAGCCCTTGTCTCCTGGCTGCCAGTCAGCTCTGGAATGCCGGCTTCTCACATTTTCTTTTCTTGCCCTTCTTTGAGAATTCTGTACTTGCTGTACTCTTTTCTTTTCTTTTTTTTTTTCCTTAAAAAAAAAAAAGCATGGGGGAGAGGGAAAACTGGTCTGCATGCAGAGAGCCCCTCAAGGCAGCCCATGTGCCTTCAGGCTCTTCTGGACCTGATAGATTGTGGAGGATTGAGGGGACTGGGAGAATAGCTTCCCGAATCCCAGATCTAAGGAACTGCAGCAGCCAGTGCTAGCCTTTCACTGTCTCTCTGTTCCCCTGCTGCCAGGCACAACTTCCCAGGCCCCATGGTGGCCATAGGTGACTAAGCCCCAAGGTGGCCACAGGCTCCAACTTTCTCAAAGTACTCAAAGTAGCTTGCAAAGTAACCCCTGTTCTCACCCAGGCCTGTCCCCTCAACTGCTTCCCGAGTGGGCCACACTCAGGACCTTCTTCCCCTACCCACTTCAAAAAGCCCTGGTCCAAGGCAGGGCCACAGGCCAGCTCCCCGCTCAGCTCACCTGCTGTGTGGGCTCTGCATCACTCTGTTAGACTTCCCTGGGGACAAGTTGAGCCAGGATAGAAGGCTGGTTTCCAGAGCTAGCTAGCTGGTGAGTTCCTGGGACGCCTGGGTTGTCCCATTCATCTTGGTATCTATGCTCAGGAGCCTGCCCATAGTGACCTGTTACTAGTGGATGGTTTCCTCAAGGGGAGGGGTGCAATCGGGTTCCATCTGCTCTGGCTCCATCTGCTTTTGTCCTAAGACAGGGTAAAGTCTTCCTCACTGCATTCTTCTGTACTTCTCTCTCTCCATCCTTTATTACAGCCCTTTGCTTATTACCTGTCCTGTCCAGAGTACCACCCCAGCCATCTTCCTCCCTGTTCCCCTAATTCAGCATCCTTGTACCTAATGACCCCACCCCAAACCCCAAATCGGGACATGCTACCTCAGGCTCCCTCTTGTGCCTTTTCTGTTAGACTGGAAGACTGCCAAAGGCAGCAAGTGTTTAAAATCCAAGAGAGGAGGACACTGGGCTTAGAAAGCTACCCAAGCCTACCGTTTCCTTTTCCATAAAACATAACGGCCACCACACCTATGTGGTAGGGTCAGCCTGGTGAATGTAAGGGCTGGTGAACTGCATTTTCCCTTATTAGTCTGATAGTGACTCAGCCTAGGTGTCACAGTGAGACTTCACTGTAGCCTTGACAAGCGTGACCAGGGGGAACAGGGCCATGACACTGGACAGTCTTCTTCTCTTGCCTGCCTGTTAGCACCTGGCTTTCTGGTCCCAAGCCCTGGAGGTATATATTCATTTCTGATCAGACACAATGATGGGGGCAGTCCAGGAGAGACTGGTGTGACCAGTGCAGGTGTGAGCTAGGTAGAAGAGATGGGAAAAGATTAACAATGTAGGGGCTAGCATGGGGACCCTTGGGGACACCTCATTCCACCTGAGATATACTGGTACCATGTTGTGTTTAGACCCTGTCTGCTCTGACTGGTTTCACCCCTGTTGGTTCACTTCACACATAACACACCTGGGTATCCTGGACTCCACACTGACAGGAGGAAAGGTGGCCAACCAGGCACGAGCTGCCAGGGGAGAGCAGCTCTCCTGACTCTAGTCCAGCTGTTGAGTGTTCCCACCAGAAGTAATGCTCTAAGAGAGAAGTTGTAACCCTGTATCCTGGAGCAGGCAGGTGAGGCTGAAGAGGACAGGAGACGTTAGCTTTCCTGGTCAGACTGCTTCGTATTCCCACAGGACCCAGCTAGACATTTGCTCTTTTTTTTTCTGCAGACAATATCCCAGGACCATTGGAGTGATGTTAGTGGTGGTTGTTCACACAGAGTTTTGCTGCTGGGCTCTAGGGACCCAGAAGTGTCACAACAGATCTCAGAGTTCTCACCTCTAGGGTGGGGTAAGACAAGTGAAGGTGAAGTCCTCCTAGTTAGAATCACTATCCCCCCTCTGCACAGCCACAGCCATCTGAGTCTATCTGTGCCTCCAGTAACTTTCTATCCTAACTAGAGTTTGTGCTGCCCAGAGGGCAGGCAGTAGCACTCCTGTGTTTCCTCAAGGGCTCCCCCTTGGGGCTCAGGATAGAGGGTGGAGGGCTCCAGGGTAGACATCTCTACTCCTAGGAAGGGCATGGATTCATCCATCTAACCATCCCTATGGATCGCCTTCCAGAGCCTGAGCTCCTTGTTAGATGCTGGGAGCCTGGTAAAACTTAGCTCCCACTGCACAAAGGAGACACTCGGTCTCTGTCCCCCGCCCCCTCCAGTCTTCTAGTTTTTATCATTTGCGAACCATGGTGGCCCCAGGTCAGCAATGCAGATTTCTGCATAAGCCCAGGGGAGGCTGTCTTCATTGCAGTGCTTTACAAGAGGATCAAGGGCTGTTTTGGATGTTCCCCTGGCAGGCACACATACCTCTAGTCTTTTCTCTGACCTCGGCTCCGAGAGGACCCGGGTGTGACCAGAGGCATTGCTACCTTGCTCTACTGCTGGCAAAAGCAATGCCCCACTTGAGCCGCCTGCCCCTTGCAGCCCGCCGTCCCACTCGGGAACGCGGAGGCGGGGGCTTGCGCAGCTGCAGGAGTCTCTCGGAGCCGCGCGTGCGTGTGCGCATGGAGGGGGGCAGGGAGGGCGGCGCGCCCCGCGGAGGCCTGAGGGCGCTTTCCTACACCTTGCGTCTCTGCTGCGGTCCCTCTACCGGTGCGCAGTAGCCATTCTCACATGTGCAAAAGCGTGGTGTGTGTGTGTGTGTGTGTGTGTGTGTGTGTGTGTGTGTCTAGTGTGTCTGTAAAGATACTGCTTGGGACCATGTGCCCCAAGCTAGACAGGCCGATGTTCGTAGGGGGCGGAGGCCAGCCTGGTAGTGGCCGCTGTTTCTTTCCCTTCCAGCCTTTCTCTCCAGACCTATCCTATGGCTTCCTTGGTGTCTCCAGTTCTCCCCCTCTACTAGCGGCCCTTTCTGGGGCAAGAGACCAGTGCTTTCCCATGGAAGTGTTAGTTCATTCCCAGCCACTGAGCCCTTGACATTTAGAAGGGCTCTGAGCACACTAGTTTAGGCACACAAGCAGACCGCTAATCCTATTAAAGATATTGTGTCATTGGGGAGGGGGGTAGCTCCCCTACCGGAGCCAGACAGACCTTCAGCCCATTGGTCGGATGCAAAGCAGGGGGCGGGGCCCAGAGCCCGGGGAAGGGGCTCTAGGCGATTTCAGAGTCGAGAGTCAGGGCTGGGATTTCGCAGGGCAAGCCCAGCGGTTGCAGCTGCAGCGGATCCGGAGGCTCTCCGCCCGTGGCGCACCCGGGCAGCCCAGAGCCGGCAGCGGCTCCGCAAAGTCGCGGAGCAAGGGAGGCCGAGCGCCCGCAAAGTGGTGGGGCTCCGCGCTGGAAGAGGCGTGCCCGCGGAGCCTGGATCCCGGGCGCCCTTTCGCCTCGAGTGCAGCGTCCGGTCGGTGGTGCAGCCGCCCGGGAAAGAGCAGTCAAATTGCAGCCTCCCCAAAGAAGCCTAGTTACGCAGGCGAGCTGGCTCCCCAAGCGTGCTTATAGCGGTGCCGCAGAGCCCTCCCGGGCTAGCGGGCTAAGGCTGGGAGCAGGGCGCCGTCCCAGAGGCAGTGAACCTCCGGCAGCTGGTTGCTCCACTAGTGCTCTCGGGTGCAGAGAGGGGGCGTGCGAAGCTCCAACAGCCCGCTCGCTCAGAACCCGTGCCCGATCAGGGTGCCCCCTCCGTCCCACTCTGGGAGCAATGCCCCCCGCCCCTCGTGCCCCCAGGGAACGAGGCGAGCATGGAGAAGTCGAGTAGCGAGGATTCTTCGATCCACCGGAGTCCATCTTTGGACAGCAAGGACTCGGACTTTGCCAAACCGTCCACCTCTGGCCGCCCGTTCGGCCGCGGCTTCACGGCTGGCGCCTTCTACGGCACCGCGGGTTCGCGGGGTCAGAGCCGCACGGAGGCCGGCATTAAGACTGACAAGTACAATGCGCCCAAAGGCAGCAAGTACGTGGTGTTTTACCTGGACCTGTCCTTTGTGTTCCTCCTAGAATTTAAGAAGTGCAACATGGCCAGAGGCTGTCTCTGCTGCTTGAAGTACATGATGTTCCTCTTCAATTTGATATTCTGGGTAAGTCCTTACCGTTGAGTCTTCCATTGCTCCTTCTTGCTTTCCACACTATGAATATCCTCTGCTTCCTCCTCGTTCTATCTTATCCTTCTCTGCCCAAAGGTAAGTGCTTTTAAAAATTGCAGCACCCTCCCACCCCCTGCAGCTTTCTGTTCCTTTTCCCTCTAGTCCTGGCTGAATGGAGGCTTCAACTTGTCAGTCTTCCAGGAGAGACATGCTCTGCTCCTAGGAAGCTGGCAAAGTTTGCCACTGCCTCCCTCTCTCCTAAGGAAAGGCACGCTGAAGTACCTGCACCGGGGAAACCTGCATCCGTGGGTGTGGGTCAGACCCTGCAGCTGTTCCCCTGTGTTGGTGGGGGACAGTGAGGATGGTTTCTGAGTTTCTTCTATTGCTCCGGAAAGCAGGCACAGTCTGTAGCATGGTGGGAGTGGGATGGGGTGTGGAGGTCACAGTCTCCTCCTCATTTAGGTGACTCTCAAGAAGAGGAGGAAGCAAAGATGCAGGATGGGGGCAGGCTGCTGCTTTTGAGGGATTGCTGTGGACTGAGCAGCCAGCAGTCTGTCTGCACTTTCCCAGGCTCCAGGAGGCTCCAGGATAAGCAAAAGGACAAAGGGAGATGAATTTTTCTAGAGAAAGTATCAGTGGATGGGCTGGCTTGGAAATATCCTCTGTCTCGTGTGTGTGATACTGGTGACCGTGTGTGCACAAGTACTTCCTAGTAACACAAACTGGATGAAAACTTAATTCATATCTGCTTCTTTCGTCCTCACTACTGCCTCCGTCTTTCTTCACCAGAGCTCAGACTACTCAGCACAGATGTTTGGCTCGTCCCCAGGTTCTGTCCTGCCACTGGCTGGAGGCCGTCAGCTGCCAAGCATGGTCCAGGAGGAGCCTGGGGGCAGGAGAAAGACGTCCTCAGCGAGGCTGCATGGCAGTAGTACGCATCTCCTGTGGAGTGATGCACTTTTAAGAAAAACTTTTGGGTGTGTGTGTGTGTGTGTGTGTGTGTGGAGAGGGCAACTTTTCTGGAGAAGGAAAAGGAAGCTCTAGGCTTCGAAGGAAGAAGTGTGAGTCTCATCTGCCTTATGTTCTTTGTTAGAGTCTTGTGTGACCTTGAGTGACTCGAGTGCCCCTTAAGATTGGGGCTTCTTCTCCAGTCCAGGCTGTTAGAATGGATGGTCTTCTTCACGGTCCTTACTGTCTTAGCTCTGTGATACCCTGGGGGTCAAGGAGACCCTGAGTGCGTCAGTTTCTTTTCCTGTGAGACTTGTCTGAGGTGAGGTGGGTATTCTCATAGGTGAGGGTGGGATAGTGGGGGGGGGTCAGGGAGAAGGTGCTGTAATTAGTGTTACCAGTCACGTGGTTGGAGTTTTAGGAAAGCTGGGTCAGATATTCTAATTCACTTTCTGGTGACAAGAACCATTGGAATGTTAAGAATTACTCTGTTTCCGTCTTGTGGGCCAGTGCCGTATGCTCATTACATGCCTTTGCCAGGATCTGTGTCCCTCAGGTACTTGTGTCTGTTTCCCTGGTGTCTCGGTCTACACACGTGCTGTCATGTTTGTTGTTGGATCCAGCCTTCTCTTTACTATTTCATAGTTCCATCCTCCCTTTTTGGTTTGCCCCACTGCACGCATATTTATTATACGAAGACTCTGTGGGCATAGATGTTTAGTGCCTTCTGACCAGTGACTCTCATCAGCAGCCTGGGCTCCTGGCCACTCTCGTCTCGCCGCCTGCTGGCCACAGTCGGTATAACTGCTTGTGATGCCTTCAGAATGATTCTGGCTTGGTTTGGGGCAGGGGGACCTCTTTGTAGGCTGTGTCATGCACACAGCATGGATCTGGAATATGTTTATAATAAACCGAATACTTTTATCTTTTCTACAATAGTGGCAGCTGTTTGTGGATGCACCTGCCCTTTCTAGTATGAAGTTAGAAGTGAGAGAGCTTACATCCTGCTCCTAATTAGAACTCTTCTTTAGAAGAGAAGAGAGTTTCACTATCCCATTCCCCGACTTTCTAATTACTTAGTATTTTCAGAATTCCTACGACAAACCACAAACTAGGGCAAGTCGAGTTTCAAAGACACATTTCTTAAATGCCACTACCACATGAGATGCTGAAGTCAGGTGCGGATGGGGAAGGATTGGGAATCTAGCAGAAGGAGAATGGTTCCCCCATGTACTTGCCAGTGCTTTCTGGGAATTGGAGGGATGTGGGGATGGTGGGTGGGTCCTCATGCCGTACTCAGGTGAGCACCTCCTCTAGGCAGGTGACCCTCAGCTTGATGGAGGGTGGAACAGGTGGAAGTGCTGAAGGAGAGGAGACAGCATGGTAGGGAGGATGCACAGGGTTCCCAGGAGGACTTTCTGGGAGGACTCTGTTGCACACCGAGTGTGGAGCACAGGAGGAAATGAAGACGGTGGCGGGAGGGAGGGGGTCAAGCTCAGCCCACTGAGATCAGGCATTAGTTGTATGTAGCTATCACATTTTAATGCCGTGGTCCAGAGAGGCTGTTTTCTGAGGACTGGAATTGAACTTGACTCTACAGTCAATAGAGAGTTTCTCATGGATCCAGAGCCCGCTGGTAGTCCCCCAGACGTGATACCACACCCTCTATATAATGGAGCCTCTAGGGGAGTCCTGGCTCCTTGTGGTTCTGGTGGGCTTATGCTGCAGCCCCCTTGGCTGCCTGCTTCTTCACCACTGGGAGGAACTTTGAGCACAGTTGCATTGGTGAGGTTCTGGTGACGTCACTCTGGGCAGGACTGAGTGGGGCTGTGCTGTTCATGCTCCTCCCTCTTACTAAGAAAGGGGCAGGTGCCTCCCGGGCTGCTGGGCGCCTGCCTGCTGGTGGGGGTCCAGGTCTGTTCCTGGCATGCTGGCTTCAGTCAGACAGTTCTAGCCTGGTAGGCAGCCCAGTGCACCAGGGGAGCCTGGGGCACCCAGGAGGGCAGCTTTTCTTGGGGCCTGACATAGATGAAGAGAATGAAGGGGGATCGGTGGCCATCCCCTCTTCATGATCCTTTACACACACACACACACACACACACACACACACACACACACACACACACACACACTCTCTCTCAGGGCCACAGAGAATTCTGGCTTCTTGATGGTCAGGAATAAGAGGCCTGTAGTCTACACAGTTTTAGCCTATGGACCTCTGGATCCTGTCAGGAGTGCCTGGGAGAATATTCCAAGCAGAGATTAAGTGAATATTCTGGAATACCCTTTTGCTAAGGGGAAAGGGATGAGGGGAGGGCTACAAGAGGCATTTCTGCATGCTGGGGCCACATGACCTTTTTTTTCTCTGGCCATCAAATCCTGATCCCAGCCCAGTTCCCCCCAGCCTGAATCCAGTTCTGTCTGAGATGGAGGGGCTGGGGCAGATGAGGACCCTAGTTGCCACTCCGGGATAAGTCACTCCTCATACTTGCCAGCAGAGCTGTCCTATCACTTTAAGTCATGGCTGGCAGAACAGTGACACCCTGGCCCCCTTGGAAGCCTATTCCTTGTGAATTGCTCCTGTTTTAGAAAGGCCAATTAGTAGCAGAGAAGGCAGTGTTGAGTGTGTCTGCTAGAGCGAGGGAAAGGAAGACATGGAGCTGCCACAGGTTGAATGCTAGGGGGGATTCTTGATTAATCTTCCTGAACGTCAGGCTCCTCTTGTTTGCTGTCTTTGGGTACAGGTGGCCAGAGTAGGCTCTCTACTGCCTTAGCCACACACAGCCCTTACTGGCATGGCCACACCATAAGTGCCTTTGTAGGCTCTAGACTAAGGTGTGTGCACAGTGAATTAAGGAAACCTATAGTGCTATAGCCAATCTGTGCGCTACCTTCTGGTTTGAGGGATTCTAGAAAGCAGTTAGGTTGAGACTTGGCCTCAGCTCATCTCTTCATGCAGGAGATGCAGGCGAAGCAGGGGAAGCAGGCAGCACGGGGGAGATGATTAGGGATTTCCCATAGTGCTCGGGAATGAGGGAAGATTCCCCAGGAGGCTGCTTACAAGCAGATCTTTTGGATATGGGGTGGGGTCAGGTCTGGCTGTTGAGGTCAAGCAGCAAGATGAAGGGCCTGGCAGATACACTGAGAGACCCTTGGAGCATGGCTGTGAAGGAATGCCAGCCCCATGTTCATTTCCAAAGCATTAAAAATTAAACTTCCTGGTCTTAATATCTATTTTTAAATCATGTCAGAGCCAGCAATTGCTGTCAATCAGGAAGGACTGAAGAGGAGGAGGGGAGAGATTGAAAAATCCCCAGATGAAATGGAAAGAGCTCTGGGACCCGCAGTCTTACCCAGCCCAGCCAGGCCTGGCCCCAGCAAACCCCAACAGGCCTCTACCCCTGAGTAACACTGGCTGCTCTTACCTCCTGTGCTTGGCTGCCCTTGGCTGAACTTGGCAGCAGGCTTTCTATGGCTTAGTAGGGTATTGGGTCCCAGTTGAGTCCATTCACTCACTCCACAACTATTTGCTGAATGCCCGATCCATGCACAGGAGCCTCCAATTGGTAAGGATAAGGCAGATCAGTTTGCTTAGGCCAGGAAGTCATGGAATCAAGAGGTCATCTGTCCTGTCCTGTGTATAGCACTTGAACCCAGGGCTGCCAAGGGTGGGATCTGTGTAGGTAGGGGCTGCCTGCCTCCCCAACACGTTAGGGTGGGCAGCTACAGGCCTGGACCCAGCATCCTGACTTGACGTAGCCTTTCCTCTCCCTGCTGCCTCACAGCTATACTCTTAATCCCTATTCTCTGAAATGTTTCTCCTATCAGAAAGGAAAAGAACTTAAAAGGAGCTACAGGCTTCCCTTCTTTCTCCTTGGTTTATAAGACACAGTCAGCGAAACATGTGGGTTTTCTGTTTTTTTCTATTGAAAGGACAGATAGATGCTCTGTGGTCTGGGAGTGAAGCCTGCATTTATTGAGCACTTATAAGCCATCCTGTTGAGCTGCTCAGAGGTCCACGGAGTCAGCCACACATAGGAAGACAG